AACGTCGCCATGAATGATTTGTGTGTGTATAGGAAGCTGATACCACACAGAGACAGACTGGCACCATCCACTATTAACAGGAATAGAATCAATCTTTAATGAGACTTTTATTGAATTTCCTAAGGAGCGGATGTTTCGTAGGGCTGTGGCCGGTTGTTTTTTTCACCGCAGCAAATTTTATCTTACTCAGTTATGCCTCACCATCTGCTCCGTAGCTCCCCCACTCTGTCATCAGACCAGGACTAAACCATAATTAAAGCCAGTGTACTTTACTTGCTTATTATACAAACTGAACAAAGGCTGAATCAGGACACAGTCATATCATTTGCAGAGTCTGAGAAAGGTGGAAAACCAGTAAGTAAGTAATGTTTATTATTTATAGCCAAGGTCACCCAAAGCGCTTTACAATGTTCAGATATTGTTCCAATCATTGTCACTAGTAAGACAATGGAAATCTATAATGAAACCTATGTAGGGGTTTTCAGGCTTTAAAACAGCCCCCTGTGGTTTGACCTTCACAGAGACTTTTCTATGTTCCATTCCGAAGATTAGTATTCAATCTTTCTAAGTATCACTCCCACACTGGTTCTTTTTTCTTGTCTGACATGGCTTGAAATAAAGTATTCATTCATTCATACAACATGAGAAGTTGAAAATGTGTTGTGATAACCTGAAATAAGTTTATATTAAATGCAATGTTGTCAATTTGCATCAACATTTTTAAACATTGGTCAAAAGCCTCTTCTTGACCAAATATCTATGTTTTTTTTTTTTTCATTGAATTTCTTGTTTTTAAACCATTAAATTCACTGATCTGTGTTCAACTTTTTGTAAAGTCCTCTGAGATAACTACTGTTGAGATTTAGGACTAAACAAGAACACATTGAATTGAATGGAGTCAGATTGTAGCAACAGAGAAAGAGAAAAAGAACATTATCAAAGCTAATGTGAGCAGGCCATTGCAGTAGTCTACTCTAACCTACTGGAGACAAATGCATGGATAAGAATCTCCAAGTCTGCTTTAGACACTATGTTTTTGATTCTGGAAATGTTTATAAGGTGGTAAAAAGCTGCTGATGTTGTATGGCCCTAAATCAAGACAGTAGTTTCCTTGTAGGACTTCGCCAACACAAATCCGCTAAGCCAACTTTAAAAAGGTAAAATACTCTCGAACACTGTACTTGCATACATCAGTGTTTTCATGTACAGATGAGCAACGTTTTGGCTGTAGACCAAATTTGTCAGACAAATGTTTTTTTTTCCCATATGCAAAGCCATGTTGGAAAGGGAGTGGCTGCAATGTAACATGGGCCACTCACTCACTTCAGGGCTTTACAAGAATACAATGAAATGAAAGGAGTCAGTGTAACGGCCCCAGTATTGTCTTGGGTGTGTGTTGCTGCTGGCTTTCTCCTCCTTTCAGGATCCAGCCAATGGGAGAGCTGATTGGGACGGGCAGCACCTGAGATATTCAGAAACTGTTTATTAGAAGAGAAGAGTCTTACAATCTGAGACACAAAAGTAATTTTAGGTCCATAAATGTGAGGACGACTGGAAAAAGATTCTGTACATCAATGTGAGGAATAAGATTATGGAACAGATTGTTTGTGGAATTAAAAAAGTGATAACATAAATGTATTTAATAATAGCTTAAAAAATACATTCTTCAAGTGTTATGAGAAACAGAAACCTTAGGAAGGAATTGAAACCATACATGTTTCTATATGTATGTGTGTAGGTATGTATATGTGTGTATAAAGGTGTATGTGTATGTGTGTGTATATGCATATGTATTTTTTGTATGTGTGTATACATACATGTGTGTGTAAGTGTATATATGTATATAATTTGTATGTAAATTGATTTTGGTAAAAGAAAAAGGAATGTGAACACATAACTACAGCAAACACTTTTGTGGATAAGGGGTGGGACTAAATGGCAAGGCAAGGCAAGTTTATTTACATAGCACAATTCATACACAAGGCAACTCAAAGTGCTGAACAAAATAAGAAAGCATTAAAATCATAGATAATCACAGAACATTAAAAAGAAAGATAAAAATATAAAGTCCCTCAGTTGTATGCACAGCTGAACAGAACTGTTTTTAACCTGGTTTTAAACATTGTCAGAGAAAATACGTTTTTTACTTTCACCCACTCCTTTTCAAACATTTGCTCGAATTCATGTGAAGTTAAACATTTTGTCTGTATACATGTTTGAAATAAATAAATACAAAATGGAAACATACAGCAGAGATTGTCTCATAACTTTTGACTCAAATGGTGTCTGTTATAAATGAGTTCCCTTTGCTTCATATCAGGAAGTTATGTTGCACCACATTGTAAAACTAACCGTTATTTCTAATCTTTTATCCCATCTGCTGTTAGATCACAGAACTAAGTAGCTGTTAGAGGAATGGATTTGTGTGTGTGTGTGTGTGTGTTTTTGAGCTTGTGTTGTGTTGTGTTTTGCTCGTCAGTTTGTATGGCCTTCACTTCATATGATATCGCTTATATAATTGTTGGACATTTCCTGTGTTTTTTTAAAAATTCACTTTAACTTTTTATGTTTTTTGTCCTATGCTTCTCAAATGTATTGCCCCTGGTGGGATAAATAAAGTCTGAATCTGAGGCGAACAGAGTTACACAAACTGAGACACTCAAATTATATTTTTTTTGACCCAAGACATTATCATTTGATTTGATTCCCTGATCTGTGTTGGTGAATTCAACAGTCTTGTAAAGTCCCCTTGTGATTAAGGGCTATACAAGAATACATTGGAGGAAACAGACACAGACACCGGGAGAACATGCAAACTCCACACAGAAAGACCTGGAGGTGGAATTGAAAACCCAAGACCGCATTGTTTAAGATACACATGAACTAACCACAGCTCCAAAAAATGAAAAGAAAACTAAAAAAATTACATTAAAAAAAAACAAGAACTAAAGCTCCTGACTGCAGCAGAAATTTAAATCGTAATCACAAGATCAAGAGCGTTGCCAAATCAGCAGCTTCTTAGTTCAGGTCGGTCACACGCAAACGCAGTCAGCAAAAAGATCTGGTTGTTTTTTAATAACACAATTCCAACAAATGTCATTTAAAACACTACCAAGTCCAAAAACAAGTACAAAAGCTGCAACATGACAGATGCATTTAAGACAGAAAATGTGTAACCTTGAGTGAAATTATGAATGGAGTGAAAAAAATTGAATTCAGATGTGACCGATATCAGTAACAGGATATTTGACATGAAATGGCGACCTATTATGAAGTGTAACATTTCTAGTGGAGCGTTCATAACTGACCCAATCTTCTAAGCTGCTCATTTCTATTACTATTAGTGATAAAGCGAGCAAAATATAAAAATATATGAAAATGTTTTTGACGAACACGATTCTAAATCAATTTTGCCGATTTATAAAGCATCCTTATTGTGGTTCATAATCGTGAAGCAGTGGTCCCCAACCTTTGCCCTGTGAACCCCTCCTCAGGTAGCCTGGCTCTGCCAGACCCATGTAGTTCCGCCATGTTCCGCCAGAGGCGTTTGGCTGAGCCACATTAGTCTGGTACCGACGCTATAAAGAACTATTTCAGCAGAAAATAATCGACCAATCAGGATCGCTGGTGTTACGTGGGGTCTGCACTGCCTTCTCGTGCGTGTCTCATGCAGCTGCAGAAGGAATCCAAGATGGCGGACCGCAAATCTTTTTAAAAGTTTAATTGCATTCCCCGAGTTGCTCCATGGAGTATCTAAAGTCTCTGGATGTTGTGGGACTGTCTTGGCTGACACGTCTCTGCAACATCGCGTGGCGATCGCAGTGGCAGACCGGGGTGGTGGTCACTCTCTAAAAGAAGGGGGACCGGAGGGTATGATCCAATTATTGTGGGATCACACTCCTCAGCCTCTCTGCTAATTTCCTGATCTGTGTTGGCGAATCGACAACTTTGTAAAGTCTTCAGAGTTGAACTGTTGTGAAAATAAATAGCATTGAATGGTTACTAATTCTAAATCTTGAGTTAGCGATTGCCGATCTTGGAAATATTATAAACATGACATTGATCTTTGATGATGTTTTCATTTTTGGCATAACTATCTTAAATAGATTTGTGTAAGCTCTCAGTCGTACAGGGTTTAGTCAAAGCAAAGGAAGGTTTCTCACCCATCATCTGTACTTCTTAGCAAGTTTTCCCGACGATTCGTCCTTCTAAAGGACTTCTTCAGGGGAATTCTCAGACCGCGCATTGGAGATTTATAACCTCCGGGGTGTGGTTAGCCACACCCTAATCCTGATACTAACTCATTAACAATCTAAGGTCTGTTTGATGTAGAAGGGAGCAGGTCTAACGACCCTGCTGATGCTAACGACCCTAAGCATGTCACTGACCTTGTCAAAAGTTAGGGCGTTGTTTTTAGGATGTCGTCATAGATGCGAGGCAAAACAAATCTTAGTGACATGCTAATGAGTTAGGAATGGTGAGACCTTCACTCCACTTGAGCAATCCCAGCAGACAATAGGTCTGTGAGTTAGGGTCGTTAGGGTCATTAGACCTGCTCCCTTCTACATCAAATAGACCTTAAATTGTTTATGAGTTAGTATCAGGATTAGGGTGTGGCTAACCACACCCATAGGTTATAAATCTCCAACGCGCGGTCTAAGAATTCATTCCCTGAAGAAGTCCTTTAAAAGAAGTATGAAACGTTGGGAAAACCTGCTAAGAAGTACAGACGATGGGTGATAAACCTTCCTTTGCTTTTATCTTAAATAGAGTGTGTAAGATAGAAACCCTCTCCATTTTACCAGGCTTGGGACTGTCACAGAAAGTTGTTATGCACTGTGGCTGGATTTCGGCCATTATAGGCAGAGAAGATAGATGTACAACCAAGAAGTACAAGAGAAAGGTACAGTGAACCCACATGAGATCATATATCACTGTTAGATGAAAGGGTCCGGTAACTGCCATCTGCTCTTTCAGGGGATTTCCAGTCATTTGTTTTTTTAATGAGGCTGGATTTGGTCATATACCGTGTCCAGTGGGCGTTGTAAAATATTTGCTGAAGGAGGTGAAGAGTTGGCACTCTGAAAAACAAAAGAGAAAACAGTTAAATAAATGAGCATTCCACACAAGATCTAGTGGACGTCAACAATCATAAAGAGAGTTTTTAGGTTGTCATTCTATGTTTTGTAATGTGAAATAATACATCGCTCAAGGATAAAAAAGGTTTTCCACCTGTAACTCCCAATGCTACCACCAGAGGGAGGAATTTAGTTTTTGATTTGAATTTTTTACAGAAATCTACGGGCTTCATACGTTTTAAAGAAAGTAATTTCACCTGACAAATTGCCAAAATAATTTCGAATAAATAATTTTGTTTTAAAACTGCTGTGTGCTCAGTGGTGCAATGACATCAAGGTGGAGTTACAGGTTTGTCTGTATATTATCTTATCTTGCAACACAATACGTCAGGCAGGAATCTAGGATGTAGCTTTGGTCAAAATAACTTCATAGCGTAAAAATATAAATTGATGAAAAATAAAACATCCACAAATGCATAAAAAGTGCTTCAAAAAAACTTTTCAATAAGAAAAAAGCACATAAACTACTTTTTGGCCCTTGATCAAAACTGTAGGTTTTTCAGTTCGACACACTCGTCAATTTGCATGGAATAAATTGCATACATTTGAATTCCATGCAAATCCATAGTTACTTTCTGTGTCGTAGAATTTAAAGATCAGTGTTTAGCCCATACACCGTTTTCAATGCCTACGCCGCACATGCTCAAAGGACGCTCCCGCAGACTACACCTCAGCTAAAAAATTTAAAACTGCGATGTAAAGATAAAGGAGCAAGACAAGCATGTTTAGAGACTTTTCCAATACAAGAAGAAGAGGCCGCGTCCTACTTCCCCACCACGGTAAGAAAAGACACCATTACAACTCACAGGCTGTTGATCAAGTGTTTTGGGGATTTTTGTGTGTTCGGTCTGGTAACGTTAGGTTGAAACTTGAAAATCCTGAAAGTCCAAGTTGCTTATTTGGCGGAGTTCTCAGTTATGGCTGTGAATGAATTTTTGTCTTGTGCACACACTAAGGCAAGCTGCAGTTTCCCCTGAGCCTGAAGGAATCTGAACCCATCCTTATAAGGCTCATATCTATGTTTACGGAGATGATATCAAAATAAAAACACCAGGATAACGGAGAGCGCTGAGTAGGACACAAACAGCAACTGAGAAAAAGGAGTTTACATTTCTGTTTAAGTGAATCGGAGCCAGAGCGAGTTGGAGCAAAACCATAGACCGTAAATATTAAAAAACGTAGTGACGCCTATTTCCTATGTCGAAATGTATATGTGTGATCGACATGTATCTTATCAAAATGGGCGCGAATAGCTCATCCCGCAAATGCGGGAAAAAACAAAACAAAACGTGTTTGCGCTTGCGTTAGCTGCAAAAGCCACTTTCAGAGCGGCGCCTGTATCATTTGCACGGCTGAAAAAAACATGTTAATTCAAAAGTCCATAATTCCTAAACTGGGCTGGTCCAAAAAAAAATAAAAATACTCCCCTCAGCATTGACACGCATCAAGAGTGCAGCCAACTTTTGGACCAGGCTGTTTTTGAGAGGAAAAAAGGTGCCATAAGATTGCAATGGACAATTATTTTTCCGGTTACATTCCGGTTTCATTGTTGTGGGTGGTTAGCATTGTCCATCTACAGTCGATGCTGTAAATAGGGAAGTGTCTGCTTAGACCACTGCCCCGGCAGAGGACAAAACAGAAGAAAATGGATGGATGTCCCAGTGGTGAAAAGTGTATTTACCGACAGTGTGACCCAGAAGCTGATCCGGTTTGTCCACTCTTTTGTTGAAGAGTTTACATCATGTGTGTTGCTTTCTTGAACAAAGATGTAGTGCATGTTTTTGTCGTGATGAGCTCTTAGCCCTGTTGCTGCAGGCGGTGTTGGCAAACTCTGAGTTATACGGTAAGTGACATTTAACAAACACTGAGAAATTAAAACCGGGGAAATTCAGGTTAATCATTTGCTTGAAGCCTTTTATCGACAGAGTCTAACCCATAGGTAACGCAGGTTCACACTGTGTGTGCGTTCATCTAAAACATTGCATGAATGTATAAAACTGTACAAAAACATAGGAGGCTGAAGCTGCACTAAAACATCTAAACTGCCATGTATTCCATCCATCCATTTTCTTTCGCTTCATTAGTTTCCGAGTCGCGGGGGCAGAAGTCATAGCAGAGACGCTGAGACTTCCAAATCCAGACACTTCCTCCAGCTCGTCCGCCACTTTGCGGAGGAAGACGCAATCTGGCTCAGCTCCTTCTTTATCACATTGGTCTGATACAGCTCTCTCTCTGGTTACTGAAAAAAAAGTATCCAACGGGAAACACCTAAACACTAAACCAAAAGTAAACTGGCTTCTAGCAACAGGCCTCCGGTGGCTTAGACCTCTGACGAGTGCTTTGTCAGGAACACATTACTGAATCGATACCACTGAGATCAGCTCTCAGGAGACTTCTCACAGATACACAACATGAGACTGCAGAGAGAGAACAGTGCTGAAACTAAAGCTTTGAGAAAATATACCTTTACTACTGTTTGACAATGAATTTGCTCAAATCTTCTAAGAACATATGAAATAAACTAATCTACTATTATTATAAAGTCATATTATATCTTCATGCCTTAACTCTATATATGAAGATGTCAATTATAATGAAAAATACAGATCTGTGAAGGAGTTTTTTCCGCAGACACGACCAGTCAAATTAACCACACCAACAGCGCCATTAGCTTTTCCATGTCTCAGCCCTGGTTTAGTGTCCAACAGAAAGGATTGGTGATGATCAGGACACTTTAGCATTCTACAACATGTATGGACATTTTCTTCTGTGTGTGCTTTATATTTTTCATGTGTTTTAACTGTTGATTCTCTGACCTGTGTTGGTTTTGTTAAGTCCTCTGAGATGACTTCTGTTGTGACCTAGGGCTATACAAGAATAAATTGTATTGTATTGTATTGTATAGTGCTGCCCGCAGGTCTAATGGTGTCCAGATGACGACAGCAGGATAAAGTGATTATGGGGTGGGGCTGAGAGCAGCATCTGCAGCATGAGACAGCAACCTCAAACACGTGACCAGTGCAAAGAGCCCTGAAACCACTGACGCCACATTCGTTTTGACACTTTAACCAATCTATTGTGAAAATGGAACGAAACTTTGGAAATGCACGAATTACACATGTGATTTAGGTCATTGAAATCCTAACAGTACAAATCAAAAGGATCAGATTGAATCCTATTGTAGCTGCCCATTTCTCAAACATGGACATAATGAAGCAGAGTGAAGGCTTATAAAAAACATGCACAATGATATAGAAAGTAATGATAATAAAAATAATAATAATGCATTGGTTTTATATTGTGCTTTTCAGACACATGTCATTAATCATTCACTCCAAACACGGTGGTGATAAACTACCACCATAGCCACAGCTGTCCTGGGGCACACTGACAAAAATGAGGCAACCAGTATGTGCCATCAGCCCCTCCGACCACCACAAACAATTTACACACACACCAGAGTCATCTTAGGCAATGTGGTTGCCTAAGGACACAAGGGCAGTTTGCCACTTTACAGCCCTGTGAAGTGCCAGCAGGTCTTGCCCTGTTTCACATGCAGGTTTGGCCAAATTATTTCATAACATATTGACTCAAGCTATGTAAAGTCAGTCAGGCGGATATTGTCTCCAGGATATTTGCGTCCAGGAGCCACGTCAACCGGCTCCTCCCCATGTGGAGAGGTGCTGAGGTTCTACTCCGAGCCTCTTCCAGCCCATCTCTAAGGCAGAACGAAACTAATTTTGGCCTTTCGGTCAGTTCTCAAAGCTCATGACCAGAGTTGAGGGAATCATGAGGCACGTCTCGCCTGTGCCTCATGAGTCTGACAGGACAGGGCAGTTATCACACAACAGGAAGTAGAACTAAGGAAGACACAGGGACAAATAAAACAGGAAATAGACCTAAACCATGACAGGTTTGGCTTGGATTGAACCAAAACTGGGCAAAACGTTAAATCAGAGTATTGTAGGCAGTTTATGACAATTGTTTACTAATAATGTTTTGTGTTCTTTGTTTAGAACAGAATAAATGTGGTTTAAAATGATGGATAAGATGCCATTGGGTATTGACTTCCATTCATTTAAATAGGAAAACCCTCCCTCCCAGAGTTTGAGCCATTCCCAAGCCTGGATAGAAATCACAGAGAATGCAGACAGAAGCAAAGAGTAATTTCTCATGAACTGACCTGAGTATCCCTTTTTTTGAGATGGTCAATTTGAGCGTATTGGACTGAGTCTGTGGATATAGAGAGTTTGTTAGTGCATTAGTGTGTTAGTTTATACTATCAAACATTCACCGACACATTAGTTACAGTACATGAAACTGAAGAGAACAGGAAGCCCGCTCTGAACTGAAAGAGCTGAGTGGAAATTAGTCATGTTTACTGCACGAGAGGAAATACCGCAGCAATGAGGTCTCCAGCATCCCGACCACAGAAGCATTAATGTTGACAGAGACTTTTTAAGATTAACAGTGTCACACATAGCATTAGAAAATATCTTAAAGTTACAAATGCCAGTTCGATTGTATTTTTGTATTCCCTACTTCGAACCAGACTCTTTCAAGGCTCTTTCTGAAATATTGTTTTATGGGGTCATATAGTGTCCTTTAATATCTAACCTCTAGTCACGTATCGATAATCTGCACTGATAAACGTCTATTGTGTGTAGTTATATGAGAGTAGATTTTTATACATACCCCCATATCTTTTTTTTTTCTACTTTTTTCTAACTTGTTTGCACCATATTTCAAAGCGAATTCCTAGTTTTGTCTGTTACTTACAATAGAAATAAAAATAATTCTGATTCTGATTATAAAGTAAGTTATCCGTCATACATAAGATCAGTATTTAATGGGAGTAGATGGAGTTGTTTCTCTTTCACAGACAAGTTTCCAGCTGCAAAACAGACATCCCAAAGGGAAGTAGATTCCCTAAAGTGGGTTTACTAAGTACGAAAGAGAAAGGAGAAGGATAGGGGAGGAATTGGTCAGGGATGAAGTGTTTTTCTGTCTCGCTTTGGCTCATCTTACCTTGGCAACACACTACAGGAGTTTTAGTTTTAGTTTTGTGAGACAGTGATTAGAGGTTAGGAGTAAGGATAATCTGAGATGATCACCACTCATTATAAATACATAGAGTTAAATATTACTTTTGTTTTGTTTGCGGCTCTATAGCAGGTCCATTATTCCCAGACGAGATGATTTAGATTGTAAATATTTTTTTTGATTGGTTGAAGTTTGGTATGAGCAAATTTGTCTTTGGTGGACAACATGGCTCAGTCCAACCTGTTTCAAAAGGACTAAATTCTAACTAAATCATTTGTAAATCTAGAAACCTAGAACGACGATAAAACTCATCTCTGGGAGTATTTTTCCTGATTTGGTCTTGCATCACTGTTCCTCTGCCAAATGCGGCCCAGCATGCACCCTGACACAAGACTTTGATCTTATAAAATGTTATCTCAAGATAACTTTTATAGCAACGGCGCGAGAGATTTTGTTGCAAGTGGTTCTGTTGGTTTAGAATCCAAACCGATCAAATCATCGAGGGACGTAAGCACACTTCTGGCGCTCTTTTTGGGATTTCTGACATTTCCTGGTTGAGTTCTTTGTGGTACGTTTGTTTTGGGTCGTATATCATCGGATATTGCCAGACTATTAAAATGAGCTTCTCTTTGTCGATCGCATGTCCAACAGGAACCAGTGTGTTTCAACCAATAAAAAGGGACGCTGTGAAAAGGGAGACAAGCCGAGCAATTTTTTTCAGTGGTTGGCGTCAACCAATGGGGGAGGGTCCCAGCTCAAAAGTGGCTAAAATGACATGCTTGCAATACCACCCCGGGCCAATGGGGGTGGACCTGGAATAAGAATTAGCCAATGCTAACATATAGCATTAGCTGACCTCTCGAAAACGTCTTTACAGGATGGACCAAAAGTTGGCTCTTGGCCCAAAGCTCCGTTCCACATGTGTGTCAATGCTGAGGGGGGTGAATCTTTTTGGTCCACTCTAATTTACTTGCTGTGAATTTTTGAAGTCTCTCGTTCAAATGAATGGAGTTGCGCCGGCTGACACATGCGCAGCTGTGTTTTTTCCCAATTTTCTTGTGGGCGGGACCACTCGCAGCCATTTTGGATAGCTCCAGTAGAGCACTAGTTTTGGCCCATTAATTAGAGCAGCGGAGATAGGCGTGACTCTGTCCATTAATTTTTAGAGTCTATGGCGTCAACACAGACTGTGGACATCACCTTCTGCATGTCAGGAAAGGCTGATTGAAACATTCAAATCACTTTTTAATCGCTCGTGTCGCTGTATGTCTGGAGGTGTTACGGCAACGCTCGGTGAAGATCATCTGTAAAAGTCGTCAAACCTTTCCGTTTTTATCAACATCATTCTGCATCAGGTGAGCGTGTGTGTGTGTATATGTGTGTGTTTATGTTTGTGTCGGCTGCTTGAACATTGTGGTGGTCCATGGCATTATCATTATTGTGGACACAGATATACAGCATTATGAAGGACATTTGACTAATTCAACATTTTTGGTCCAGTAGCAGATTTACGTTGTTCAAAGACAGAGCTCATAACTTGAAAATAAAACTCTGGTTTGACAGGCTGTAGACTGAAAGCGTCCGTGTGTCTCCAGTGCATGAATGTGGATTTGTTGCTACTTTTGAATGCGCCTATTGTAGATGTAACATGCTTCAGGGTTTTGATCTGACAAAGACATGAAGCAGTGACCGGATCCGCCTCCTCGAATTCTTGGAAGTCCTGTGGTCTGTAGCCAAGTTAAAGGTCTCACATTACGGTTTTTGACTTTTCTCTGCTTTAACCTTTAATCTGTTTTGGCTCGTGCACAAAAGTTTGGCATACCCAAATGTCTTTGCTAATTTAAAAACACATCTTACATCTCACATGCTTGTGTGATGCATCATTTTAAAGCTAGGCCCTTCTAGTTTATGTAAATATACACAGAAATAATGTATGTCATTCCTATTTCACTCTGCATCCTTTGAAGTTTGGAAAAAAAAAAACAGTTTTTTTAGCCTCGCCTAAAAAATTCAATGTATAAATGCCCTAAAAAAGCCTACTTCATTGGAAGAAGAACATTTTCAATGCTAATTTGTTCATTGTGTTGTTGACAACAACTGTGTAAAGTTTCAGACTTCTAAGTTTTATAGTTTTTATGCAGTTTCTCTTTTTTTATCAAGTAGTGCCATTCGGAACCAATTTGGCAAAATTTGTGCCAAATTGTGCCAAACTGCTTTACTAACATTTCACCATCATAAAAAGCATATTTTTTTAGTTTTGGTACTTATAAGTTACAAATCTGTGTGATTTTATTTTACATTTTTTCAAAATTATTTTTTTAGTAGTGTAAATGCATATAAAATATGCGCAGCAGTACTAACAGCGTCTTTACGCACGCTTTTACTGTGAAAATGAAAAGAGTTCCTACAAGTCCCACCCATCAAAAGAAAGCTCTTTTTATTGGCTACTTAGACATGTCAATCATTCAGTGCTAGCACATTGCGCTAGCCATGCTAATCAACAACGGCAAAAATGGACCCCTCTGCAAGTGGATGCGGTTTGTCTTTTTCACAAGGGTCCTGTGGACTAAAACCTGCTCCTTTCTTTTCATGGAACCTCTCTTTTTAAAGCTAAGGACTCAAGGAACACGTGGATATGATGTTTGTGGCTAAACAAAGCTCAAACTTGGTGAAATGTGAAAGAGAAGCCTGAATATTTTTCGGAGCGGTTTTTTTTTTACAACAGAAAAATGCACATTTTTGGATTATTTCTGAAGAATGGATTATACTTTGGGAAATACAAGTGGATATTCTTTTTCACTGAAGACTTACGGAGAGAAAGAGACTAAGCAAGGATGGGGAAAGTCTAATTTGTTGGAGCTGCAGAAGACAAAAGGTAAGAAACTTATACAAACACGATTTATTTTGTGCCCATATTATGCGTTATATCTTTTTAATGCAAAGTCTGATATCGTTTACAATAAGCTTTAAAATGATATATAGCTTGTGGATTATGAAGTTAAAAATACCTCTACTATTGCCAGCAGAAGTATTTTTTTCTCGTTTGCCCCCGCCGCCCCACCCTTGACCCAGAAATTGAGTAAGGGGAAGAAAATGGATGAATGTTTTTTTGGTTCATGTTGACAAATTTATACACTTCTCTGGATTGTAGCCTTGGGCTGATTTGTATCTGTACCACACTCACAAACACACACTCACTCTGAACTATTGGACATGTTTTTAGTGAACTGTGAAACATGAAGAAGAGAAAAATATAACAAGACCTTTAACTCTGTGGACCCTTGTCTCACCCTCACTATTTGGGGTTACATTTGGAGAATGTCCTTTATTAATCAGATTCTCTGTCACTATACTTCTGTCACTATGGGTGAGGTCAGTCCACTCCTTCTACAGTCTATTGTTTTATGAGTATAAACCGACTGCTTTTATCTCGAGCAAACAGATGCGTCATTGAGTTGGTTTCGAAGTAATCTACATTTTCTCATGCATCAAATCTTTCCGCGCATGTGCTGCTCCTCATAGCCTTGAATAATATTTGCACATGTTTTGAGCCCAAAAAGCACATCTGTTCCTCCTTGTTGTATGATATCAATATTTTGGAATCCAGAGAACACCAATCCAAACTAGTTATGACTGCATTGTCTCCTCTTAAAGCTTTGTCCATCCTGAGCCGGGTTTATCATCGGTCAATGAAGCGATGTTGCTGCTAAAAACAATCTCTGTTTGTTCCTTCAACAAAGACATCTTTAATTTTTCCACAGTTCTGTTTACAGAACACAATGAATGCTCTCTTTATGCAGCTGCACAGGTTGAAAATGAAAGGACTTTAATGGGGATAGTTGGAGGTGACTTACCATCAGACTCACGGGGTAGTTGTAGTATTTTATTTACAATTCGTCAATGTTTTTTACTACAAATAAATGATGAGATCTTGATTTTTTTAGTTGATCCCGCCCCCAACGTAATGAGCATCGCGCAATGTCCTATTTGATATGTGTTAGCAGTTCCAAATAATTGGCAACCAATTTATTAGGGTTTCCATGTCCTGCTTCAGAAATGTCAATGTGTTTGTCAATTTAATATTTTATTTGTATCTCTGTATTATACTTTGCGATTGACTGTTTTGTCTTCCTACAAGCCAGATGTTTTATCACTTGTGGTAAAGTCAGCTATGGAAACTGTATTGTTGTGAGATGTTTCCTGCAGGTGGACAGAAAGTGCAATGTGATCCATATGGTTTCCTTTAGATCCATCTGGTCATCTCCAGGTTTGAGGCTCACTTTAAGTGGAAACAAGGAACGGTCTGTTGAAATGAGGGAGAGTCGTTGGTAAAGTCTAGTGTACTATGTGGTTATGCCATGGAACTACCTGGCTAAAGTGAAGTGTACAAAACAGAGCATGCGTACAGATAAGAACGGCAAATGATGAGGTACATTTATATCAGAAGGATCTATACTACGGATGTATATCTCCACCGCTGAGGCCGATTCGATACACATCTCGATACACTACCAGCGGTTCGATACATTAACGATACACTGAAGTCCCTGTCGATACGATGCAATAATTCCTATTCACGATACGATGCGATTCAAAGAGGATTTAATAACGATATGACTGATTTGCAACAGGATTCGGTTTGACATGATGTGATCCTGTTCGATACAGTTAGTATGAGAGTTTATTAGCCCACATCAGGTTTCTTACCTCATTCTGCTTTACTCTATCAATTTGAGGGATGTATTTAATATTTGGTTATGGTTATTAGAATTTGTGAAGCGTCTTTGAGTTCTTGAAAAGCACTATATAAATGGAGCAAACCAAGAAATCCTATTTGAAAAAAACATTATTCAGTATGTACAGAGTATTTATTTATTTGAATCCTTCATTATCTAAAATGCTGTAGGGCTGGATATCTTAAGAGATGAAGTAGACTAACTGCTATAGCAGTAAATTTATCCTGTGTGAGATTAATAAAGTATATCTTATCTTATCATAGCATCAGTTAAGGCCTGGGAGCGGGCAGAGTTAGCTGCTTGAGGCGTGTTTTGACCAAAGAAGTTTGTGATAGACCTACAGCTCGCGTCCTCAACTTTGCGTGTGGCTGGTGCTTCGGTATAATCCAAAGGAGAGGAAGGTGCAGCCGCGGAGGTATCCACGCCGTGTTGTCCTCTCAGATGCGTTGCCAGGTTTGTTGTGCTACCCACGTATTTGATAGGCGGTGCCCGGCATTTCTGCACGCTTGACTTGTTTTTTGGGGGCCATTAAAAATCTCCTTGCCGTTTATATTGTGAGCGTTCATGCTTGTTTTGGACCCGAAGCTTACGTCAGAGCCCGAGGAAGCGATGGTGCATTCAGGTTGCCTCAGAAATATGACAGGGCAGCGAATAGAACAATCGGTTTAACCATGGACTCCACCTATGCAGACAGTCTGGAAGATATGCACCCCAAATTCACACCTAAATTATATCTGATGCGCCATGAATGTATCCGTGTAGTTGCATCGCAGACGTTTGAATCGGACCATCGATGCGAATCGGTGAATCTTCACATCCCTAATCTATACCTCCTTTTACCAGATCATTCTACCTTTCCATAGTGCAGTGGTCGATGAGGCGTCATAGACTTCCTAAACTGTGGGTTTATATCAACTTTCCTCGTCCCGTCTTGAGTAACTACTGTTACGACGAAACATTGCAGACATGAATCATTGCCCGAGTCACGCCGCCCCAAATTCATGGAAACCTGCCACGGTCTCATATTAGGTTTTTGACTTTTCTCTGCTTTAAACATCATTAAAGTGCTATTTGGCTTCATTCACATGTTTCATTGATTCTCTCAAGCTTTAGTTAGAGAGCGATCTCTTTTTCATTCTCGAATTTTGAGTTTTGATGGTGCATCACCCAAATTCTTATCACACATGTGCTTAGGAAGGTCTTTTATTTATTCATTGTTTATTTGGGACAACAGTGGCTCAGTTGGTAGAGCATTGGCCTTTGATCATGTAGGTCATGGGTTTGAGCCCAACACAAAACCTACTCCAAAGAGAAGGTGGTGTCTGCTGTTGTTGTGTCCTTGGGCAAGACACTTTACCCCACTTTGCCTGAAGCCCCTGCTGAGAGATCAAGGCTGTGCTCTCACAGACAGAGCAGCCATCTTCCTGTGGAGGATCAGTGAGGGGCTGGTGCTCTGTGAATTGGGTGCAGCTGTTACTACCACCCCCCGACCTCAGTCAGTCCACTCCTTCAACAGTCTATTGTTTTATGAGCCCAGTATAAATCAACCTCAACAGACGTGAAGAGAAGTCCCCTCGCAGAATTTGTAATCCCAGAGGCTTCACGTGCACCTATTGGCCTCAGGGATTGCTGCTGTTCTTGCGTTGCCCTGAGTTCACCCCTGCACCACGGTGAGGCACACTCTCCAGTGTGAGGACTGCAAACATCGCTACATCCCTAGGCGCTCCGATTTCGCAGGGGGTAATTAGTTTAGGTCTATTATGCAGTTATAGCTTATATATACTGTAGCTAGGGATAAAAACAAAGACTTAAAATACAATATTATGGTTAAGGTCAAGGTGCCCTTTATTCATCCCCGTAGGGCGATTTGTCCATTTGACCCGTCCTAGGGCGTCTATCAGGAGCATTGGTCACTGTAGTACAGCGCCCGAGGAAAAGTCTGATTTTCTGCTTCTTCAGGACTAACAGGGCTGGAGGACTTTTATCTATTGTACATGTTTTTAGTGGTTAGAGAAACTGGAGCACCTGGAAGAAACCTACGTAATTTACAAGGAGAACATGCAAACTCCACTCAAAAAGACTGGATTCAAACCCAATATTAACAGTAAGGCTATGTTAAATCCTTGCTTCACATACAATTCACAGTTGTATCTCCTTTATGACCGTCAATTTATGCTACTGTCACTTTCCTGCACTGCTAAATGTCTATTGCGTGTGTGGACATAGTGCACTTGTAAATAGAAGTATGTTTAAGAATTTTTTTTCTTTTTATTTCATGCATGCCTTATTTTATTTGTAGACTTCTTTGTACTGAGAGCCAATGCAATTTCTCAGTTTGTGACTTCCTGTTACTCACAATGGCAAAACAAAGAATTCTTTTTCTGATAAAAGCTTCTATGAAAACTAAAACCTCTGACGCACATGGACATGCTCTGTACTCGCACACGCTGAGGTCCCTGCTGTTTGTATTTGCTTTTACAGTGTTGTGTGTCTCATTTGTGCGGGTCTCCCTCATACGTGCTTCTGTGTATTAACCAGCAGTGAATATGTTCAAAGCACAAATGTCTACTACAATCCTTTTATACCATAACGCTTACTAGCTGCGTTTCCATTGAGCACCAAATTTCAGAATATCAGAAAATGTCTAATGGAAACAGACATTTCAAATAAATCAAATTTTATCAATAAAAACTTCATGCGCTTAGAATAGGTGGTTTTATGGACGTATCAAAATTAAGTTTGGAAACACTTATTACGATGTAGCCGGATGTCGTTAAAGCCAAAACACAGAAGAAAAAAACAGGAAGTAGCAGGTAGCAGCAGTTTGAGAAAAACAAATGACTCGATACGTTTGGACACTCGAGGAGACCAATTACATTTTAGATTTAATTTGGAAAGTGGGATAAAAAGCATATTTAATATAAAGCAGCAAAGGAACGCAACCATTTACAAAGACCTGGAAAAAGAAATGAACAAGGCAGGGTACAAAAAGCCTCAAAGTGGAAAGCGCTATTATTATTAATACGTGATCATTAAAAGAAACTGCAGCTAAAGTGGAGGAAAGTGGACAACTCTGTTCAAGTATTTCCTTTTTATGGATGAGATACTGGGCCAGAAACCCATCATCACATCCCAAACACTGCATAGGTAAGTGATTTTAACTTATACTTTTACAGATTGCTAATGCTACCGGCTAGTACTAGTAGTTAGCAGTCAACGCTAGACCAGAGAGAGACTTGAAAGAGAGTAGCGAAAGACCAGAGGGAGAGCAGAGAGAGACTAGAGAGAGAGATCTTCATTAGTCTCTTAATTTGGTTTTGTGATTCATATTGAATGTGTCAGAGTCAGAGCTGGGGACATAACTTTCAAGCTTTCAAACCACAACAATGGAAATGTCTAATACTATCCATGTCTCTACTTCCTGTCTCTAGAACGGTTTGATTCCATCACCGGTTTTCACACGTATCTCTGTCCTTTGTTATGTCTTTAGATCAGATTTCACACAGCCAATCAGCTTTCAGCCCTAAACCTCCAACAGTGACTCACAGGGATCTTTCTTACAAGTACACAAAAGATAAGACGTTTTCTAGAAGTGTCTGTATGTAGATTATTCACACAGGCTTCAGTGTCCATGATACATCTTCTATGAACAGTAATCAAAGTATAGATATGATATTACTGTAGTCAGTGATGAGAGAAAGATAGAGTAGAATAGTTTGACTGTGCTGCTTCCTGTTCTTCTTCTGAAACTAAAACCCGTGACCACAGTTTCATGTGAAGCCGGTCCACGTGAGGTCTGAGCCCACAAGAGCTTTCACAGACTGAGCTCTCACATGCACATGTTCATAAGTAAGTTATAAATACTGCACTTGCCTTGAGATTGGAGTGATGGTGATTCTGGTTTAGAGAACTTCTTCTTTATAAAGAACACAATACACAGGATGATGATGATGATGAAGACGAGTACACCCGAGACAATGGGAATAATGATGACGGCTAACAAAAGAAAACAAAGCATTACACATGAACCCAATCATTTTCCCATAAAAATTGAATTCTTACAACGTTTCTTTTCATCTGATTGATTCGACTCATTCTTTCCAGTGCAGACGGCTGTTATATTCACTGTAGCAGTCTTATTATCCACAGGGTTCTGAGACACACATTTGTACTGGTCGGTGTAGTTCCCCTGTTGGACAGTGAGGGGCAGCACTGCAGAGCTGCTGCTGACCACAGACTGACCTCCTCTGAACCAGCTCAGTGTGGTCTGCTCTGTGTGCTTCACTGAACACTGCAGAGTGACACTGTCAGAGCTCACGTTCACACAGGACACGACTGGACCAGACACCTCCTCTGCAACACACAACAAACACACAACAAACACAATACACACACAACAATCACACAAATGAGGAAAAGTTCATTTCACAATCATGGGATACATCACCTTTAGTTCAGGCTTTAGAGCTGCACAGAATATATCGACAGTCTGAATTGTGATAATGACAGTATAATGTTCATATGGGAATAATTTCACACAACAATCACACAAATGAGGAAAAGTTCATTTCACAATCATGGGATACATCACCTTTAGTTCAGGCTTTAGAGCTGCACAGAAAATATCGACAGTCTGAATTGTGATAATGACAGTATAATGTTCATATGGGAATAATTTCACATTATTTTATGGTTATGTTTGGGTGGCACGGTGGCTGAATGGATAGCACTCCTGCCTCTCAGCAAAAAAGTCTTGGGTTCAAATCCCGGTCGGAACAGGGCCTTTCTGAGTGGAGTTTGCATGTTCTCCTCGTGTCTGCGTAGGTTTCCTCCAGGTGCTCTAGTTTCCCCGCCAACTAAAAACATGTACAATAGGTCTGGCATGCGCCTCCTGTACTGGCCCCACTCCCATCTCTGTGTGGAGTGAGAGACAAATGCCCACAATAGTAAACTGCTTAGTGACTCTGGTCTGTGAAAGGTGCTATATAGAAAAAGATCACTTACTTACTTCAGGAAATTACCTTATACAATGTGGATAAAGTAATGCTGAATAAACCTGTCTCCGCCAAGAGGCCACTTGCGGTACTGCAGCTTAAATCCATGAGGTTTAAGAGATATTCCCACAGATCTCAATGTAAACTAAAACAGCTCGTCCTCAGCTCACAGAGAGCAACAGCTTTAACAAAGGTCAGATTTTGGGGGGAATTTAGTTTCCCTTGTCGCTCTGAACTTTTTTTTCTCCTTTTGGAATCCATCATTTTTTTTCTTTATATCCACATTTTAGTGCAACAAACTCTTCTTGGAAACTGCTGCAGCGGAAGTCAACGAAGGTGAGACGTGTTTTTTATTTTTAAATCTTCGATCTTCGATTTGATTTGAGGAAATCTCAAACATGCAGTTTATGAAAGACAGCCCTGGAATTTAGATGAACTGGAGTAGAATGGAAAGATTTAATATCAGAGAGGATCAAACACCTCATCCACTACAGACTCCAAGCTGTTACAGATGTTAAAGGGAATACATACTAAAATAATACAAATAATAATAATAATAATAATAAAAAATACGATTAACATTCAACAAAATGTGTCATCATAGAAAACATGTTTGTTCTTTTGACCATAAATAGCTTCACACACAAACTATGAATTGTTACTTTTTTTCCTCTTCAATACGACCAGGACTGTGGGACAAATTAATCTTCTCTTAAAATAAACCCGAAACTAATCAAATGAAGTTAATTGCAATATCATTAATTGTCAACCCTAACACTGTAATTATTTTATGTTTAAAAACCTGGTGTAATGTCCATCCATCCATCCATTTTCTTCCGCTTTATCCGTTGCCGGGTCGCGGGGGCAGCAGTCTAAGCAGAGACGCCCAGACTTCCCTATCCACACACACTTCCTCCAGCTCGTCCGGGGGGACCCCAAGGCGTTCCCAGGCCAGCTGAGAGACATCGTCTCTCCAGCGTGTCCTGGGTCTTCCCCGGGGCCTCCTCCCGGTGGGACGTGCCCGGAACACCTCCCCAGGAAGGCGTGTAATGTTTTAAATCAAATAAAAAGATGCAGATATGATAAATATTAATGCACAAATTAAAGTAAGTTTCAGAAAGTCCTAAGTAGCTCTGAAACAGTTGTTTTGCGTTTCACATCTGTTATTTTTCTTGCAGAGAGGATCCACAGGAGGAATGCTATTTTTATTTTTAATACTAATGAAGCATTCAGCATTTCACTCTGAACCAGAGCAGAGAAAATGGTCTGAACCAAGCGGCCCCTCCACCTCTGCTGCTGTGACCTAAAGTGCTGCTGCTTTACTTTTGTTAATAACTTTTAGAAAGATGTATTCATTTGTTTGTTTGGATGGATGTGTTTCTGGTGCTGGAGCTGAATGTCTCCTACAGGATCAATAAAATATCTATTTATCTAATTATCCCCAAATTAAAATCAGAATGTGTCCCCTCTTGAAAAATTATTCACTAGTTTTCATGAGCATGTAATTATTTGTCACATTTTTAGATCAGCTTTCTCAGACAGATAGTGAATAAAAGCCCGAGGCCCAAAGCATCAAATAGTGACTTACAGGGATTTTTTATTGAAATTAATCCATTTGTTCATTTATTTCCACACAATTGCAAGTGGGAAATTAATACAAAAGATTATCGCAGTAAGCTCTACTCCTGCAGGGATCTTGCCAGTGCTTTCTGATATTCATATTTTTGAGTTGTTTCAATTAATTGTCAATCAACAATCATGTCCAACTGTTGATGCTGCGATTGGTCAGAACCGGAGCTGGAGGTTTTTGCCTACTGTTTAAATATGTGGAAACCGGCGCACCTGGAGGAAACGCAGACGAGAGGAGAATATGCAAACCTCGACTCAGAAAGACCCGGTTCTGACTTGGATGGCAAACCAAAGCTGTGGTACGAAAATGTTCTATCATTAGACAGAAATTACAGGGTTCACCACAACAACAATACAAAAGAGCAGAATATCATTAACACTTCAGAAAACCTTTAACATACACAAATATCAACAGTTTAACTTTAGTACTTTCGGGTTTGTTTGCTACTTTAGGTTTGACTCTTTTCAAATGAAACAAAGATGAAATAATGAAAGAAAAAGATCAAAGTAAAAGTCAGAGCTGGTATAAGTCTGAACAGACACAGATTTAAGAATAATTGTACTCACCGAACACTTTGAGGTCATAGTATTTGAAAAACACATTCCCTTTTTTGGAGTCGATGGAATAAACTCCAGAATCTTTTTTCTGCAGATCTGAGAGAGTGAAGAGTCCAGTGCTTTTGTTCCAGTGAAGTCTGTTTGTGTAAATGTCTTCATGAATCTGAAATTCACCATTAAAAACAGCAGCAATAGTTTTTGGTACAAATAAAATAGATCCTATCTCCTTCACAGAGTCTGGAAAAGTGACGGATCGTCCCACAACAGCTGTTAGATTAACTCTCACGTCTCCATCACATTGGACCAAAACTGTGAAAACATCAAAATATATAAAAACACTCAAATGTAACTATTCCTGTTTAACATCTACATTCAATTCTGACCACAATGAACCCTGGACCTGGATACAATTACACACATGTTTTATGTTTTAATTTTTTAATTAGAGAACTTTTGTGAGAACTGAAGCTTTCACGTAATAGTGACATCACTTTAATTAGCAGCAATTTAAACAAGTGACATATAATTTAGCACAGTGTTGTTCTAATCCAATCAATTTTATAGCACATTTTATAAAACAGGTTTCCAAAGAGCTGCACAGAGATAAAAGATAAAAGTTTAAGATAAATGTTTGAAATAAATAGTTAAATAGAATAAGTAAAACACCAATTAACACTAATTAAAATAAAATAGTATTAGGGGTAGTTATTGCTATGGTGGTACTGTATATATGACTGAAAGAAAACCTAGGTTTGGTATGGGAGCTTGTGGGAATGAAGACACGGAGAAAAGTATATAAATAATAAATTGTAGTGACAAAAAATGTTGTAGACGGACAAAAATAGATCGATACATGTTTTTGTACATGAAACGGGTCTGGAAAGAAACAGACAAATAAAAGGGACCTTTTCAAACCTTTATGGTTTGAGTTCAGTTCACTGTTTGCTTTAAGGCAGAGTTCAGTTGTTTTTTTCAACTACTTTTTGTCTAAGGTACTCAGTTTTGTTCAAAAAAGTTCAAAGAAGAATAATCCGTATGGAAAAAAAAAAAAACCAATAATCCAAATAGGGGTGTCCTAGCCCCTTGTAAATCCGCCATGCTCCACCAGAGGCGTTTGGCTTCACTAACGGAAAGTGAGTGGCCTGTAAATCCTGAGGCTTTGCCAAACATTGTGACCAATCACAGCGGACCAGTGGCCCCCGCTTTCGTGTGAAAAGCTGAGTTAGCACAACAAGAGGCGGAGGCTAACTTGAAGCTTCCTCGTCTTCGTCACCGGTAGCTGCTTACACAGGAAAACATCCATCCAAAAGAAAGTCCTGTTCCTCCACGCTTCCCCGTTCTATCATTCTATGGTCACACCATCCACGCTCAAATGTACGATACATGCATATATCCATATTGGGAGACGCTAGCTCCGTAAACAACAGTGGGTTTGCGGTAATGGGGGGGGGGTTAGCTTCGTGGGTACGGGGAGGGGAGGAGAAAGAGCGAGGCCAGCGAGTCCGCTGCTTCAAAATCCCAAAGTCAGTTAGTGCAGCTTTAATTTAATTAGATAGCAACTGGATCCAGCCTATCAGTTTGTTTTTGTATACTAATCTAGCATGTCATTCATTTTTATCGGACCCATCTAGTCTCTACAGGGCTTTAGGCAACAGGCAGCCGCTAAAAGTTTTTTTACTTCTTTCATGTTCTATAAAATACAATTTCAGAGAGATGGAAAGACTTTACGTTGAACTTTTTATTAAAAGCTGCAGTAAGCGATTTTGTTAGCTTAGCCGTAGCACCAACTCCAAACCACTCCCCCCTCCCCTCCACCAAACCAAACATCCAGCATTTTCTTTTCTTTGTCACTGTAGGAGACAGATCAGGGTTCACTGGGTGTGTATGTGGTTCGTGTGTGTGTGTGTGTGGCTCCACAGCAGGGGGCGGGGCTCACGGGGCAGGTGCGCGTGCACGAGCAGGGGTAAAAGTGTGCGTGTATCTGTCAGGCGAGTGATGAGTCAGGGCTGAGTGGGTAGCCGTATTTTTTGTTGACCGTTCGTTCGTTTGTTTGCCTTTTACCTCTTCTTTTGCTCACATCAGGTTCTATGTTACAGTTCAACAGTTTATCATTTTTCCATATTTTGTTTGTTGCACCTTTTTAAGTCAATAAATCACTTTAAAACGCAATACCAGGATCAAGGATTTTTTAGCATAGGCTTCAATACGCGTCATCACATTACAGGACCCACTCTGACCGGCTCAGCGGCTCAGGTCTGCAGGAAGCCGCAACAGTCACAACAGGGAGAGTGGACGGCAAATGTGAAATTGGCATTTTCTGTTCAGCCATTTAAGGTTTCAGAAAATCCAATAACTCCGGTGCGCCAAATCCCATTGGTTCGTTGGGGATGAACGAATCCCATTGGCTAATTTTTATCGGTCCGCGCCAAAATATTGTTTATCTGGTCAATTCTGTTACTCTTTGAAAAAACACAAGATAACTCAACTACTTATAGGGTTTTGGGACATTTTCCCACAATACTTAGAAAAATGCGTCTGGAAAAAAATCCCTGACTGCATCTTTAATGGCTGTATCAGTTTCAGTTGTTCTGCCACACGATCTTTCCAATGAAATTAGGGAACCACAGCTCAAAAGAGGTTGGGGACCACTGGTTTAGCACCAGAAGTAGAAACGGACTTCAATAATAATGTCACGCCTTTCTCTAAACCAAGTTAAAGTATTACACTACAGAAAAGCAGTTCCCAGTTTATTTCATAATTACTAATCAGCAAGTGAATCACATCAATGTACGCGAAATATTCTAACGACGTCAGCTTGATGTTTGGGGCATATGCACAAATACACGTACCTGTGAAAAGTACATTGAAAAACTGCTCAAATGAACTACAACTACAACCATTATATAATACCGAGAGAACGACAACAAAGGCACGCTCAAAGGGGAACACGAAGGCAGGGTTTAGACCGTCGTCAGAAAGGTTAGTTTTACACTACTAATGTAAAACAGGATGTACCCAGTCTGTTTTACATACGTTTTTTTATCTCTTTTTAAAGTATGGAAGAAGAAGAACCCAGATGCAGCGGTCCATATGACTCAGACCATGGACAACACAGTTTTTACGCATCTATCTTTAATTCTATGTCTTCCAGAAGTAGTCCGCTTTTTCAATGGTGACGTAAGGTTCTGTACCAACGCCCTGGCTACGATATTTACGATTACGCCAAAGATACCCCAAAAACAAGTGCATACACGAACGTAAAACTTACCGTAAGCGAGACACAATGCGATATAATATAATCCCATCTTGGGTCCGCATCTCTTCTCCTCATCTACTCAGACTGAAGTACAGGAGCCCGCCCATGCACTCTGCTTTCATGTTTCCCCGCGGTTATGGTTCAGTGGCGGAGCCAGAGGGGTAGCCAGGGTGGCCACTGCCACCTCTAAAAATACCCTTGCCATCCCCAGTGCCCCCCTCGGAAGACGGCAATGTAATATTGTTAATCTTGAGAATCTTCCGCACTTTTTCTGCCAAAAACTAAACATTCCCACGGTTTCTCCCGTCTGTGAACGCACCCTGACTCCGGAGGGTGCTGTATGCTAATGTTTTGGGTTGTTGGACTCACATGTGCCCAAGTCGTGATGAAAACAAAGGGGTAAGTTAGCAACGCAGAGCCAACCGTTTACATTTGACACAAAGTATAGACACACGTACTGCAGCGCATTACTTGTTCAGTTTAGTACTTTTAGTGTGTGTGTGTGTGAGTGCCTGTATGCGCGCCTGTGTGCGTGTGTCTGCGTGCCTGTGTGCGTGCCTGCATGTGTGCGTGTGTGTCTGCGTGCCTGTGTGTGCCAGTGTGTGTCTGCGTGCCTGTGTGTGTCTGCGTGCCTGTGTGTGCCAGTGTGTGTCTGCGTGCCTACGTGTGCGTGCCTGCGTTTGTGTGCGGGTGTGCATGCGTGTGTATTCTCCATTATTAATTGCCCATCGTATCATCGCCCTCTTCCCTTTAGTGTAAACATTAAATGAAAAGGAGGAGACATTGCCTCTTTTTTTGTCAAGAAAAGGCCTGTAGATCAGGATGATGAAACCTCACCTGAAGGTCAGACTCGGAGGCAGTATGTTTTGAGATGATGAGGAATTTGTTGTGTTGTATTAAAATATAGCTTACATTATTCAGTTTCAGAGAATGAGAGGGAGTCACAGACAGGTGCAGGATCGTCTATTGGCAGAATTATAGAGGCGTTTTTTCACACAAACAAAAAAAAAAACAAACAAAAGAAGCTAAGATTACGGATGGAGTGCAGTCGCTTGACCCCAAAATATTTTTTAAAGAAGATCCCCTGTTTTCATTTGGCAGAACCTTTCAGTCAGATATAGAGGACGAGGTATGAGGTACGTCAAACTAGGTGGATTCTTGGGAGAAAAAAATGGATTAGAGAGTGCCTATTGGACTTCCTTGTCCTTTTGGAACGTTTAAAAAGTGTTTCATGAGCTTTTGAGGCTTGCAAAGATCTTTTTAATACCTGTCAGTACTGCGTTTTGTGAAAGAAGTTTCTCTGCCCTAAAACTTATTAAAAACCATCTCAGAACTATGGCAGATGACTGAGTCATCTTGGTATCCTCAGTGTAGAGTCAAGGAGGGCTCAGGACTCAATATGGATGAGTTTGTCAATATCTTTGCTGCTTTACACCAGAACCGCAGGAATTTGCTAAATTTGTTAAAAGAAAAATGAAATGCAATGTTTGAATGATGTCATTTTGTACTTTTTTTGTTCAGACTACTGTTTAAATACGCTTTTTTTCTTCGTAGTTTCCAAGTGTGCTCTCAGTTCACTTTATATAAAGAATAAACATAAGATTAAGATTAAAATGTATCGTTTAGCCAGTTTTTGTGTGAAATAAAATTTCTGAATAGTATGAATGTGGACCCCTTAAAAAAAACCTTGCCACCCTCTGTTTAAAAGTCTGGCTCCGCCACTGTTATGGTTAGCACCTCACCACGTACACTATTTCCTTTACTATTTCTTGTTAGCATGTATTTGTGTGTGTTAGAACTTCAACTCAGGTCTAAGCGCTAAATACAGACCCTAAGCAAGTCACAAAAAAACATTTCGCGTCTGCAAGCGATGAACCGCGGAGCTACGCAGTTTCAGGAGCAAAACAATAACATCTATCAGTAACCTCTGTATCAAATATAACGAACAACTCTGTACCCTCCCTCCCTGGCACTTGTAAAGCCCATTTAAGGACTTCTGAAACAATGTCGCCTGCGCCTGATGTCTGTGGTCCACTATGTGCAAATAAAGACCTACAAGTCGAATGATTGTTCTGCTTTGATCGCATTTCTGTCTCCACCAGTGATGCAACAAATATTTATCTTGAGCCAACATGTTCCAGCACCTCTACGCCGAAGGCACTGTGTAGAACTATGAAATGAATGAAAACAACACACAGCCTGAGAAGAACAACAACCAACAAGTGCAGCCACTAAATGCAACTGTGCAAATGTCAACAACAAAACTAGATCCAACACAATCTGCTACAACTACGTGGATGTAAAATGCATCTTGTCTGTCTGAACAGTCTGAGAAACGCAGAGCTGCAAAGTGAGATTGTTTGGAAAGCTGCCAGAACTTTCTCCATAAATGAAAACAACCGTAAACTGAAAAGAATAACTGTCACCAATGAAAACAGTCATAATTAAATGAAATATAAAAACACAACCAAGACAATGTGGAACAATAAAATGATAAAGATGTCGATGGAAAGTTTAAGGACTGTCCTTTTGACAATTGTGGGATTCAAGAAGTGATTTAAAGAAGTGAAGTCATGGGTTTGTGGCTATTGTGTCGTGTCATCAGGGTATTGTGAGATTTCATAACACTTTTAAGCAACTTTTGTTAAAGTTAAACTCATCATTCTATCAATGTGCAGAAGCCAGTACTTTTCCCTTGTTTTGTCTATCTGAAGGCCAAGCTACATGGCACCGTGGCAGCTGCTGATTGGAGGTCTCCATGCCACCGCTCTGTATAATACACTTGCATTCTGTTGTTTGTGTTGTTCGTGCTGTCTCTACCATCGACAATAACACATGTCTTCTGTCTGAATTAAAGACGCGATCCCAGACTTTGTCATCGTCTTCAGTATTTTACAGAATTCCACCAGTGTCTGTGATCCACAAACTGTGATAACAAGTAATAAAGATCCCTTTGTCTCATGAGTTGTGTTCGAAACCCATTGATGTCATCTCCACATGACCTCATTTCACAGCATTCAGATCTGAGGCCAGAGCTCTGTTGTGTCTCAATAAACTTAATTTTACAAGAAACCTGTGGTCTATCATCCTTCTCCACACCAAACTCGTGACTAGAAGAAGGAACCGATGCAGTAGCCTTATCACCTTGTGCAGGTGGTTCCAAAGCCTGAGGAGCCCAGACAAGAAGGCTCTCGGTAGGAGGACAAAAGACCTTTCATCCTCAACCTTGGAACGGCCAACAGAGACCTAAACAAGCTTTAAAAGGGATTAATTAAATCTTAAAATAGGTTCTAAAACACTCAGGGCGCCAGGGGAGGGATGCTAGAACAGGAATGATGTGCTCCTTCTGTTTAAACCAGTGAAAATTCTGGCTGCTGTGTTCTGAACCAGTTGGAGGTGGAAGAGAGATTTGTCCAGACCAGAGACCTGAGAGGAGGGGGTTACAGTAATTGAGGCGATAGAAGATGAGACTCATTTAATATCAAAACAGTTATTGGTCACTCATTCTCACCAAAGTACAAATGGTGAGAATTACCATTTAAAGCCCTGTTTTTGCTTTCTGGAAATCTGTATGTTTAAAGTCAGCCAAAGGCGTCGTGGAAAACGCACAGTGGAAGAGGTGAGGTGCGATTGTGGTAGCTGCACTTGTTTAATCCAGTCTCAGTAATTCTATTCAACTTTTTTAAAAACATATATTAAAGATGCATTATTGTTTGTCAAAAAGCTTATTTTGCATAATATTACTTTTAATAGTAATAAGATAATTGGCAACAATCACGTCTTCCATATTTTATTTATTTCATGGGGATCGTTGGTGCAAAACAACCCTGACTTGTTAATCTAGTTTAGACACCATGATAGTTCACTTACACACACACACACACACACACACACACACACACGCACGCACGCACGCACGCACGCACACGCACGCACACACACACACACACACACACACACACACACACACACACACACACACACACACACACACACACACACACACACACACACACACACACACACCATGGGCCATGGGTCATTTACTGCCGTTGTTATCTTTGACAGACCAACGGACGCCAAAATCCTCCTTCATACCCTTCAGACCAAACAAACAAACAGAGTAAATCACTGGGATGCTCCATGGGTATGAGGTTTGCGAAATAAAAAATAACAAATGTCCATTCAAAATAAATCAAAAGGTTTATTTGTTCAACTTTTCAGGCAAACAACAAAAATGCTAGTAAAAAAGTGATAAAAATAAATAAATAAAAGATAAACAAAATAAACAAACAAAATTTTAGCATATGCGAGTAATCTTCCGTCCCTCAAAGCAAGCTAACATATCAAAGTGAATTAGGTTCATAAACAATTATCTTACATAAAACAGGTGCTAACAACATAAACATACAGGCAGAGATGTTCCCTTAAACCCACGGTGTAGATAAATACACTAAAAACGAGCAGATACATGTAGTATCCAACGCGTCCACAAGAGGGCGGCACAACACCGCGTACCCTTATGAGACACAGCAGTGGGAATCCAGGTCACTGTATAGAAAATATGCTGGAGAAATGCCTGCTACTTTGGTAATTTTTTATTTAGATACACATTAAGCATAAGACAAGAATCTATCATTATACCACGTTGTGTGTTCCCAGAATAGAGAGATTCAACAAACATCATTAAAACACTTGAACTGTTGTACAGATAAACAGTTAAACAGTGTTTTAAATGAAAGATATGAATCTCTATTATCTCTAAAGTTGATCTAATCATGTTTTAATGCATAATAACGCTGCACATTTACTTGTGTCTCTTGTCTCCACAGATTGGAAGCAGTGGCTGTTCCTATGTTTTTGTTATTTGTCGCAGTGATCATTTATGTGACTGTGATAGATGTGACGACTGAAAGAAAAAGAAAAAGAGAGAAGCCCAATATTGAACCTTGTGGTAGTACGTCTGTAATCTCTTTTAGGTCTGATTTGCAGTTTTGAATTTGTACATATTGTTGTCTGTTGGTCAGATCCAGTTTTTGATCCAGTTGTTTGCAGTCGCTCTGATTCCATAACGCTTAATAGCTTTTAAATTAGCATGTGATGGTTAATATCAAAAGCCTTTTTTAAGTCTACAAATACTCCCACTGCGTACTCTTTGTTTTCTATAGTTGTAGTGATACATGTATTTTCAACCATTTCCATTATTGCCATTTCTGTTGATCTATTTTTTCTAAATCCACATTGATTATCTGTTAATATATTATATTTATCAAGAACATTTGTTAGCCTTTGTTCATTGAGCTTTAAGTATTTTTGAACAATGTGATAAAAGTAAATAGGTCTGTAATTGGAAAATCTGTGCCTGTCCCCACCTTTGATATTGTCATTTTGTCTGGAAACAGGCCTGATTGTAGGGACACATTATAGATATTCTATAATTAATCATCACCATATTGTGGATAGATGGCAAAAAGAACAAAGGAATCGAAGGTAGAAGAGGTGGTTGGCTTAGAGCAGGAGGTACTAAACATTGTTAGAATGTTCAAGAATAAAACCTCAACAGATCATAATGATATAGACATTAAAACTGTAAAAGAAATGATTAGTCATATATATTGCCTTAGTGCTCTCTGTATCTGCTCCGTGACCCCTCGTATGTATGGTATGGTGACTATGTCTTTGTGTTCGTTGTGTTTGTGTGAGTTTAAGCAATCACGGAGACGAGGGGGCTTTCACCTTGGCTCACACTTTGGATTCACTTCTCCAGAGACCACAATATGGCAGGGGATGCGGTCAGTCTGACGGATCTGTGAGATCTGTCAGACTGACCGCATCCTGCAACAACAGCTGATATGCGTCACACCAACACTTGACACCTCTGATGAAGTGTACTGCCCAAACCTGTGGTATTTAGGGACAGTCCCAATACCCACACTGCACCCTACGCCCTCCTATGAAGTGTGCATGTGTCTGAAGTGCACGCAAGGGTTGGAGTGCGCAGGTTACAAGCGTGCACAAAAGGCGGAATTGGGACAGTGCACACTGAGTGCAGGTTACGTCATCGACTCGTCAAGAGATGGTCATTTTCAGACCTAAACTTTATAAACATTAAAGGTAATTTTGTCTGACCCTTTGGGAAACAAAATGAATTGCTTCACACACGTTAAAATACATGTATATTAGTTGTTTTTAATTAGAGATAGCTGTATAATTTTAAGTTAAATGTGGGTAACTAACTATCTGGTCAGTTTTTATACATTCTAAGATTATTGTACTAAGTGTAAAGTTTAAATTGAATGTTATATAAACGCTTGGTTTAAAAAGTTATTAAATTGTTAAAACACAATGTCCGTAATTCTTCATCAGACGTTTATGCTTCTTTCCAAGTAACAGCAAAACTTATTTACACACATACTGCATATATATTTCAAAATGTATATTTAAATGCATTTTCCCGACGTTTTGGTGTGTACCGCAAAGAATTATGGGCAATATCCTTCGCCAGAGTGCGCATTGATGCAGGCTACGGCGAAGTGTGGATCAGGGGCGCAAAGGGGGCGGGGCCAAAGACCTCCCTGGAGAATTGGGACACCCTACGAACTCGCACCCTTTATCGGGAACGCGCAAATGAGGGGCGCGAGGGTGGAAGTGCGAGTATTGGGACGGGGCCTTAAAGTGGTTCTCACCCCCGCTCCTCGGAGCTTACGTCACTCACATTTCCTGTTCAAATCTTCCTCTAAATGGGCGTAGCCTGGAGGACTAAAGGGGGCGTGAACGAGACTGGGCCGTTTACATTGCTCTGGGCGGGGGGCTGCTGACGTCAGGTCTTGCTTCAGACGTCAGGTCTTGCTTCAGACGTCAGGTCTTGCTGCCGCGCCAGTGTTGGCGCCAGATTCAAAATTCAAATGTAGTTATACAGGTCGCCAGCAGATGGCGCCTCACAGACGGTTTTAGGCAGAAAGTTTAACTTTCAACTAATTTGCACCAAAGTGACAAAATTATGACCAGGATATGTAGACAACACTATTGGACACTCATTTATACCGTTTATCAGCAAAAAAAAGTGGATTTGAGGGTGAGTTGTCCTTTAAGCAGTACTAGCTTTTTTTGCTTTTTTGTCTTTTAAAAGAACTTTTAAAGCCGGGTCAGAAATGTTTCAAATGCGCCGTTTGGGTCATTTTTTGTAAACACCTCATCCCATGTTTCCAGCATTTGGATTTTCTTGTCTAGATCCACAATGGTTTGCTGCTTAGCTACCTTGCTTAGTTCCTCCGACATGAAGTTGAGAGACTTTTTAGTTTCGTCCATCTTGTCTTGTTTGGCCTTGAGTGGTATTTCTTTACGTAATTCGTTTAAATTGTTCAAGTCATTGGATTTATAAAGTTACACCATTAAAAACGCATTTGTTATATTTGGTACGGAGCCGACTGATGTGATTGTTTTGCTCCTGAAATTAAGGTTTTTTTTAGGGTCTGTATTCAGCTCTTGGACTGGAGCTGAAGTTCTAACACTCACAAATACATGCTAACAAGAAATATTAAAGGAAATAGTGTATGTAGGTGAGGTGCTAACCCTAACCGCAGGGGGACATGAAAGCAGAGTGCATGGGCGGGCTGTACTTCAGTCTGAGTAGCTGCAGAAGAGACCCAACATGGAAGTATATGTAGCATTGTGTTTCGCTTACGGTAAGTTTTACGTTTTATGCACTTGTTGTCTTTGGCGTAATCGTAAATATTGTAGCCAGGGCGTTGTTACAGAATCTTACGTCATCCTTGAAAGCGGACTACTTCTGGAAGACATAGAATTAAAGATAGATGTGTAAAAACTGTGTTGTCCATGGTCTGAGTCATATGGACCGCTGCATCTGGGTTCTTCTTCTTCCATACTTTTGAAGAGACAAAAAACAACAAATGTAAACATCATTGACTAGGTCCCACCTGCTGCCTTCTGCTCCTCTTTGAGCGTGTTTAGCACCTTTGTTGTTGTAATGCGCTCTCGCCATTAAGTGTAAGCTCAGTGTATTGACCCCGTGCATGTGACGTCCCAGCCACGCACATTCTCCATGACAGACAAGTCATTGTTTACTTGACCAAAACAACCTTTTTCACCAAATAACAGCCAAATCTGTGATATTGTGCAGTGCGGTTGGTTGTACTAACAGGCGAGGACATAAGCCAAATGTGTCTTATTATCTGATACCTGCTCCTGATGAAGACAGAAGACGAAGATGGCGGAAATCAACCAAAAAGACTCCAGAATTTCACACTTTTTACAAGATAAATCAATCACAATTTTTTTTAAATTTTCTTTCCATTCATTTATTTGGAGGACAATGACACAACGATGTCAAACATGTGCTTTTACTTCTTTCCTGCGCTGCAACATTGACATTTCCTCACTGTGGCACGAATAAAAGATCTTATTTTAGACCGAAGTTGCGTTTTTCATCATTTTCCTCTCCGTCAATATGTATCATGTTTGGCTGTAGACAAATGCTACCAGCAAAATGTACATTTAAATCTGCTCCAGTGTGAGGGGATACATTGTTAACAGCATAATGATAAAGACCATGTGGGGTGAACTCGGGCAAAATTGTACATTTCATTTTATCGATAAAATTGACTGTGGGGAGAAGGTACGGGTCAACATCCAAATCGCTGATCCTTAACTTCTCCAAGATGTCCTTCTTTCACCAAAACGTAATCGAACATGTGCTTGAAGAGGCCACTTCTCGATTCAGGAGTCTCAGTTTTTAAGAGTTGTGTCTGTTTTGCTCTCCCGCAATCCTAGTTTCTATTACTTCCGGCGTAAGCTCATGCACAATCACGTGACTGGATGACGTCGATGCATCTGGTCAATACTCGCGCGGCGCATAGCTTACGGTGGTGGCGTGACGTCACTTGACCAACGCAAGGATCACCGACCCTTGCGTAACCCCCCCTGCTCCCTCGAAATGTTTAAGGTCCACTGTGATTGGCCCGTGTGTGATTACTTTTTAGATGGAAGCATGGAGCGGCTTCGTGCTTTGAAGGGACCAAAGGAAAAGCAGTTTGGGCTCATGGCTCAGAGCCTGATATACAGGAGACTGTGGACTAGAGTTCTGTTGCACATCCAACTTATAAACTGTTCAGTTGTTTCTTTTGCACTGTTTCTGTAGCTTATCGCGTCTGTTCCTCCTGCACTTGTAAATCGTTAATGTTTGTCTCAGATACCACTTGTTTTGCTGTTTGTGCTGAATACAATTTAATAATAACTATGTTTTCAACAAGAACTGTGTCTTTATTCACAGCATCACAGTTAAATGAGTTATGAAACAGTCCATAGATAGAACAGTCACATAAACCTACAGTAGAAACACATGTAATGATCTCAAACTGCTTGGTTCACCATTGTTTTGTTCTGAGGAGGAGACAGTAGCAGCGTAAATGGGACCGCTTTGGTTTCTCAGGCAGCTCCTGTGAGATCGCCATCATGTGGTTGTGTGTGGGATTACAACATTCTCCTCAAATCTACGCAGGGGGAACGCGCTTGAGTGTACGAGCAACTGTGGTTACGTAGGTCCAACGCCACCGTAACCAGCGCCGCGCGATTATACAGGCCTATAGTTTTATATCATGCTGTTGTTAGAATATTTCTCATACATTGATGTGAAATATTGTTATGATTCAGTTGCAGTTTAGTGAATATGAAACAAACTGGAAACTGCTTTTTTGTAGTAAAATACTTCTGCTGACTGCTGAACCACTGGTCCCCTCCCTTTTTGAGCTGTGATTCCTCCATGCTATTTATCTATCAACGTTATAGAAAAATTATAGAAAATACAAAAAAGTATTTCTAATCTTTTCACGTTATTTTGACCAATAAGGTTGAAAAACACTGTGCTAAACTATTGCTCTCTTGAATATATTTAAAACATATGTCACTTGCTTAAATTGTTGCTACTATTACATGAAAGTTTCAGTTCTCACAAAAGTTACCTCTAAATAAAAAAAAGAAAAATAAAATAAAATTGTTTCCAGGTCTAGGGTTCATTGTGGTCAGAATTGAATGTAGATGTTAAACAGGAATAGTTACATTTGAGTGTTTTTATATATTTTTATGTTTTCACAGTTTTGGTCCAATGTGATGGAGACGTGAGAGTTAATCTAACAGCTGTTGTGGGACGATCCGTCACTTTTCCAGACTCTGTGAAGGAGAAAGGATATATTTCATTTGGACCAAAACCTATTGCTGCTGTTTTTAATGGTGAATTTGAGATTGATGAAGACATTTACACAAACAGACTTCACTGGAACAAAAGCACTGGACTCTTCACTCTCTCAGATCTGCAGAAAAGTGATTCTGGAGTTTATTCCATCGACTCCAAAAAAGGGAATGTGTTTTTCAAACTTTATGACCTCAAAGTGTTCGGTGAGTACAATTATTCTTAAATCTGTGTCTGTTCAGACTTGTACCAGCTCTGACTCTGAGTTTACTTTGATCTTTTTCTTTCATTATTTCATCATTATGAGTTAAACTGATAATATTTGTGTATTTTTGAGGTTTTATAAGTGGTGATAATGATCTTCAGGTTTTATTCCAGGTTTTAAAACATTATTGAATAATTGAAGGTCTAAATTTACAATTTACAAAACAATTAAAAAATAAGGCAATTAACTGCAATTTATAATTAGTTATTTTTTATTGATTCCTGGCCCTAATGATGAGGCAAAAACACTCATTATTAGGACTTGTCTAAAGCCATTTATTGTCAAAATAAGAAAATGTTTTCTATTTTATATAATAGTGACTCAATAGTATGTATTGTTATTATTATTATTATTATTATTATTATTATTATAACAACAGTGTGTATTCCCTTTAACATCTGTGACAGCAGTCTTTAGTGGGTGAGGTTCTTCATTCTCTGATATTTAATCTGTCCATTCTCCTAAATTCCAGGGCTGTCTTTCATGAACTTCATGTTTCAGATTGAATTAAAGATGTTATAATTTAAAAATAGAAAACATGTCTCACCTTCGTTGTTGACGTCCGCTGCAGCAGTTTCCAGTGTTAAACCTACAGTCTATGGTTAAACCGAGGCAAACATGTGGTTTCTTCTGACTCCTTTATTTTAGAGCAAAATAAAAACCATTGCAGTTTATTTTGTGAAGAAAAAATGACATGTAGTTTTTATCATTGAATAGATTCATGGATACAGAATATTGTGCTGTTTTCTATCCTGCTGATCAGAGCGGAGCTAGAGCAGGACGAGAGCGAGCAGAGTTTGTTGCACTAAAATGTGGATAAAGACAAAACCATGGATTCCAAAAGAAAGAAAAAGTTCAGGACGACAAGGGAAACTAAAATCCCCCCAAATCTGACCTTTGTTAAAGCTGTAGGTCTCTGTGAGCTGAGGACGACCTGTTTTAGTTTACATTGTGTTTTAAGCTGCAGTACCGCAGCTGGCCTCTTGGTGGAGACAGGTTTAAGCAGCATTACTCTATCCACTTAATATAACACATGCACTGTCGTTTCCTGAACCATAAAATAATGTGAAATTATTTCCATATGAACATTATACTGTCATGATCACAATTCAGACACCGTCGACATTTTCTGTGCAGCTCTAAAGCCTGAACTAGAGGTGACTCATCCCATGATTGTGAAATGAACTCTTCCTCGTGTGTGTTTGTTGTGTGATTGTTGTGTGTTTGTTGTGTGTTTGCAGAGGAGGTGTGTGTTCCAGTCGTGTCCTGTGTGAACGTGAGCTCTGACAGTGTCACTCTGCAGTGTTCAGTGAATCACACAGAGCAGACCACACTGAGCTGGTTCAGAGGAGGTCAGTCTGTGGTCAGCAGCAGCTCTGCAGTGCTGCCCCTCACTGTCCAACAGAGGAACTACACCCACCAGTACAAATGTGTGTCTCAGAACCCTGCGGAGGAGAAGACTGCTACAGTGAAGATAACAGAAATCTGTGAACGCAATGAGACTCGATCTACAAGGAGCATTCACAGTAAGACTTGGACACAACACTCTGTCCAATGTGTCTTTTGTGTTTAACTTGTTTTATCCTTTTGACTTTATTTCATAAATGTGATGTGTGTATTTCCACTCTATGTGTGTCACACATAGAGTGAATCTAGAGGTTGAGAATGTTGTCAACTGGAGTAAAGACAACAACCTCCTCTTGAACACATCCAAAACATGTGAACTGGTGTTCGACTTCAGTCGTGGTCACTCTCTCCCACTCTCCTGTGGTCATTGATAACTCTCAGGTGGAGATGGTTGAGGATTGTAAGTTCCTCGGCCTAACTTTGTCCGACGATTTGAGATGGGACAAAAACACCAACCACACTGTTAAGAAAGCTCGCCAACGTCTATACTTTCTGCGGAAATTTAGAAACCTTTCAACATTTCGCCACATTTCAGGCTTCAAACATAAAGATATAAAATTTAATTTTTTTTCAAGAATCAACAACAAGTGGGACACAATCGTGAAGTGGAACGAAATTTATTGGATAATTTAAACTTTTTTAACAAATAAAAAACTGAAAAGTGGGGCGTGCAATATTATTCGGCCCCTTTACTTTCAGTGCAGCAAACTCACTCCAGAAGTTCAGTGAGGATCATTGAATGATCCAATGTTGTCCTAAATGACTGATGATGATGATAAATAGAATGCACCTGTGTGTAATCAAGTCTCCGTATAAATGCACCTGCTCTTTGATAGTCTCAGGGTTCTGTTTAAAGCGCAGAGAGGACCATGAAGACAAAGGAACACACCAGGCAGGTCCGAGATACTGTTGTGGAGAAGTTTAAAGCCGGATTTGGATACAAAAAGATTTCCCAAGATTTAAACATCTCAAGGAGCACTGTGCAAGCAATTATATTGAAATGGAAGGAGTATCAGACCACTGCAAATCTACCAAGACCCGGCCGTCCCTCCAAACTTTCATCTCAAACAAGGAGAAGACTGATCAGAGATGCAGCCAAGAGGCCCATGATCACTCTGGATGAACTGCAGATAACTACAGCTGAGGTGGGAGAGTCTGTCCATAGGACAACAATCAGTCGTGCACTGCACACATCTGGCCTTTATGGAAGAGTGGCAAGAAGAAAGCCATTTCTCAAAGATATCCATAAAAAGTCCGGTTTAAAGTTTGCCACAAGCCACCTGGGAGACACACCAAACATGTGGAAGAAGGTGCTCTGGTCATATGAAACCAAAATCAAACTTTTTGGCCACAATGCAAAACGATATGTTTGGGATAAAAGCAACACAGCTCATCACCCTGAACACACCATCCCCACTGTCAAACATGGTGGTGGCAGCATCATGGTTTGGGCCTGCTTTTCTTCAGCAGGGACAGGGAAGATGGCTAAAATTGATGGGAAGATGGATGGAGCCAAATACAGGACCATTCTGGAAGAAAACCTGTTGGAGTCTGCAAAAGACTTGAGACTGGGACGGAGATTTATCTTCCAACAGGACAATGATCCAAAACATAAAGCCAAATCTACAATGGAATGATTCACAAATAGACGTATCCAGGTGTTAGAATGGCCAAGTCAAAGTCCAGACCTGAATCCAATCGAGAATCTGTGGAAAGAGCTGAAGACTGCTGTTCACAAACGCTCTCCATCCAACCTCACTGAGCTCGAGCTGTTTTGCAAGGAAGAATGGTAAAGAAATCCAGTCTCTCGATGTGCAAAACTGATAGAGACATACCCCAAGCGACTTGCAGCTGTAATTGCAGCAAAAGGTGGCGCTACAAAGTATTAGCGCAAGGGGGCCGAATAATATTGCACGCCCCACTTTTCAGTTTTTTATTTGTTAAAAAAGTTTAAATTATCCAATAAATTTCGTTCCACTTCACGATTGTGTCCCACTTGTTGTTGATTCTTGACAAAAAAAATAATTTTGATATCTTTATGTTTGAAGCCTGAAATGTGGCGAAATGTTGAAAGGTTCAAGGGGGCCGAATACTTTCGCAAGGCACTGTACCAGCAAAATGAAGGATAAAACAACATAAAATAATATTTACATATGATAGTAATAATAATAATAATTAAATGATAATGATAATAATAATTTGTGGCTTCTGTGTCAGGCTGTGGAGGTGAAGTCGAAAGATAAAGCTGCTGTTTTAGTTAAAGATCTCTGCTCAACTGCTGCCTCTGCCCGGCCCTGGATTAAGTGGAAGAAAAAAAAACGGGAGGATCCTGTTTTAGAATATCAAAGATGGGATTAATAATAATAGTATTCATAATAATAATAGTCCATCCATCCATCCATCCATCCATTTTCTACCCTTTAATCCATTTCTGGGTCAGGGGGGTGGCAATCAGAGATGCCACCCAAGTCTCATAGCACCAGCCCCTCACTGACCCTCTGCAGGTGGTGAGTCCACAGGAGGACTCACCACCTCCTGAGGAATAATAATAGTAACGTTTACATTTACAGCCATTGAAAAACCAGCGGCGACAGTGCCTCAGTTGAAAGAGCATTGGTCGAGGATTCGATCCCCCCAAGACCCATGTCCTCTGCTCCCACTGTCTGCTGTCATTGTGTCCCTGGGCAAGACACTTAACCTTTGCCTGAAGTACAATCTGTAATTATATGTAACTGTTTTATAATCTGTAATTGTATGTAACTGTTTTATAATCTGTAATTATATGTAACTTTTGTCCGGGACTCCGTTGAAAAAGAGGTTCTTAATCTCAATGGGACTTTCCTGGTTAAATCAACGAGGGACTGGAGCTTTGAGACTTGGAATAATAAAGAGGAAGGAAATCACACAACCAATGAAAAACAGAAACACAAAATCTGATTTGAAAGAAGATGGAAAGTTTTATTTCTCAAAGTTTTTCTACAGAGTCCAGAGCAGAAAAAAGGCGAGCCAAGAAATGTGAGATAAATGATACATGTTGTTTGCCCCAACAGTCTTAAAACATAAATGTAGTGAAATCAAACCACCTTGTCAGAACACTATTCTCTTTTGCACATGTGAGAAAGTTCCCCGCGAGTCACTATTTGGCGCTTTGGGCTGAGTAAGAGCTGATCGTGAGGGCGGTTCTCTCTTTTCCACTTTTCTATCTGAAAAATCTGCTCTAAAGATGTGATCGAGGCCAAACAAAGACATGCATGTGAAAACTAGAGACAAAAGAAACAGTTGTAGAGCCATGAAAACTGTATGGACTGAATTATACATTTACATTGTGGTGGTTTGAAAGTCACAGACCCCAGCTTTACTCAAAGTTATGGTTCAGTGAATGAGGGTCGAGATTGTGGTGCGGCGTTTCATTTTTCATGACTTTATTTTACATTTGCATTCACATAGTGGGGAAATGTCAATGTTGCAGCGCACATACAGGACAGAATAAGAGCACACAAATACACAATATAAGCAGCTGTTATGTTTCTCAGCTAAAGCCTGTCATCCTCTCCCATTCTGGATTAAAATGATGAAGATGGGGGTAAAGTTCAGTTGCACACAGACTATGAGTGAGGGTCCTCTCTTGTTCTTCTCTTTTCTGATTCAAAAAAATGTGAGACCAAACTAGAACAAAACTGTTTTAAGGCCAAGAACGTTTACATGGTTTTTACTTTGGGTGTTCCTTCTGTACACAGTAGATACATTTGTTTTGAGGTTTGAATAAGTTCCCCATGAGCTTTTCAGATACAATACAGATGTGCTTTGAATAGAGGGAGTGGTTTGCATGTGGGCTGTTTCAGAAGAGTCAGTCTGTGGATTTAATGATGTGTTTAAACAAAATTGGTGTTTTCAAATGTGAGTTAGTAACTGCACATTTAATATATTAAACTTAAACTAGCTTATCATATTTATCCATAAGCTAAACTGCGAGAGCAAAGTGAAATAGTGTGTTTTTTGTGTGGTTTGATTCTCTGCAGGTTCATAGATTAGTTTTCTCCAATGTTCATATATTTTGCACACACACAAACACACACTTGATAAACATATCCCAGCTTCACCCATTCTGTCGGTCAGAGGAAACTCCAGCCTGCCTTAACCATAGATTTATAAATACTGTATGTCTTTATATGTCTATGGCTTTAACAACACTAGCTTATGTTCAAATCAGCTTCTTCTGCTACATTTGGTGACATCAGCGCTCGCTCAGTCCACTACAGTGTATGGTGAAGAACAGCTCTGTTTTATATGGTTGGAATGGACCTGAAATAATGACATTTTTAACCCTTGTGCTGGCCTCGGGGCAAATGGACCTGCCTCAGTGATTAAAAGTGAACCCTAGACCCTAAAATAGAGACTAAAAGGATCTAAAAAAAAATAGGGCTTGTCAAGTTAGGAAAAATCATCAAAATTCAGGTTAAAAAAAAGAAAAAATCACTGTGGCAGATGACACATGGGTTAAATTAAATAGATTACACTCATTTGTGTGCCTTAGGTGCCTTACCTAAAGCACACGAATGATTTAGAAGAATTGTATATACATGTTTTATCTTTTTGGGGTTAGAAATATAGAAATATACCTGATTTAACTTTGCACTTTTTGTTCTGATGCTTTCTGTCCAACCTGCTGCAGTTCTGTGGGATCTGTTTGTGTCTTATAATTAAACAATAGGAAAATGATTTATTAAACATATTTTCTCAATTGTTTTCATTCATTCATTCTCAAAAGCAATCATACACCAGGTTTATCACAGAGCCTCTTCAGAAAACAGTCTCTCTCATAGCGTCATATGACCGGCAGAGGGCGCTGCTTCTCTCTTTTTCTTTTTCTTTCAGTCGTCACATCTATCACAGTCACATAAATGATCACTGCGACAAATAACAAAAACATAGGAACCAGGAACAGCCACTGCTCCCAATCTGTGGAGACAAGAGACACAAGTAAATGTGCAGTGTTATTATGCATTAAAACATGATTAGATTAACCTTAGAGATAATAGAGATTAATATAGTTCATTAAAAACACTGTAGAACTGTTTATAGGAAAACAGCAGGCCAGGGCACTGTTGAGAAAACACCTTTATCTCAATGAGATTTTTAGTTAATTATGTTTGTTGAATCTCTCTATTCTGGGAACACACAACATGGTATGATGATAGATTCTTGTCTTGAATGCTTAATTTGTATCTAAATATAAAATTATTAAGGGTACGTGGTGTTGTGTCGCCCTCTTGTGGACGCAGTTGATACTACATGTATCTGCTCGTTTTTAGTGTATTTATCTACACCGTGGATTTAAGGGAACATCTCTGCCTGTATGTTTATGTTGTTAGCACCTGTTTTATGTAAGAGAATTGTTTATGAACCTAATTCACTTTGATAAGTTTGCATGCTTTGAGGGACGGAAGATATTGTTTGTATCTTTTTATTTTAGTTGTTGGAGCTATTTATTTCTTTTGTGTGCGAAATTAATTTGGTTTATTTTTTATGTATATTTTTTGTTACCACTTAGAAGAGATTCAGCACTTTTGTTTGTTTGCCTGAAAACTTGAACAAATAAACATTTTGAATTCTTTTGAATGGACATTTGTTATTTGTTACTGCGCAAACCTCATACCCATGGAGCATCCCAGTGATTAACCCAGTTTGTTTGGTCTGAAGGGTATAAAAGAGAATTATCCGCTTCCGGGTGGATCATCAAGACTATTGGTCCTACCAATTGTCAATCATTCTGGTGATTTGTGCAAATAAGACCAGAGAGTTTTGTTCTAAAAGTGGAGAGTTCACAGAACAAGCAGCAGAACAAACCACTTTGTTCAGAGCTCTTCTTTCTTTGGCTGTGATGCTGCTGAACCACACAGTAATCGCACCAGCATCAGGCTTTCTATGGTGCAGCGGTAAACGTTCAATTAAATCTTAGACTTGTTTG